AGCATCTAAAATTACATCAGCGTTTGAATGACTAAGAATTCTTGGTTTAAACGAGGTGACGATATGTCACGACGATTATAATTGTTGCCACGATTATAATCATTGTCAATTATAGTCAATTAAAAATTCTTAATTCTAATTGTTTAACTTTTCAAATAAGAATATAACACTAAAACACAAAAATTCGATTTGCTTATTATTTTGACTTTTCTTTGATAAAATTTTATAATGTTCTTTGAAGGAGTATAAATTATTTTTGCCAGTACATGATAAAGACTTTTTCTGAAATTTGTGATAAATACACTTTAAGATTATTATCAAGAAAATATAATCTTTCTTTTAAAGAACCTCGTTACTTACCAAAAGAAAAAAAGCAATTTGAGAATTACAATTGTGTACATAATAGAAATTCAAGTATTAAAATTGCGTACATAAGTAAAATTCGGGAATTACAATTATGTACATAATTTTAATTTGCGAAAATGTTTTATGTTATAACGTGAAAAAAATTCAGAATTAATATTTTGTCTAGACATAATTTTAATTCTGCATTTTCAATTACAGCTTAACAATAATTCGATGAATTATAAGTAAGTCTAGACACATAATAATAATTTCTTTTCTTTCAGTATCAATTTAATTTGATACAATTTTTATAATAGTATTAAATAGTAAAATGACAAGCGTATACGCACACGCAAAAGAAAAATATCATTCGCTAGTGCTAAGAAAACCAATTACTCAGTTTTCTCTGTTTTTAAGTAACGATGATCCTTACAAAAAATGTTTTCTTGATAATATTACTTAAAATAAATAATATTCTACATTCTAATTATTCGATTCTTCAGTTAAGAATATAAAATTAAAACAAACATTTGATTTGCTAATTATTTTGATAGGACAAGTCAAGGCTATGACGCAGATCACAGTGCGTAATATCAGAAATAACTGATTTATTCGTCGTTTTCATACATCGATCCGTAGGTTTCGGCTCAGCTTTGAGCCATCTTCAGCAGTAGTTGCACAAGTTAAGTTACACGTTCTCCGTACTGTGTGGTGAGTTTACTGATTCCAAATATCAGAAACATAGACCAATTGAGCCATATCCGTAAATTTGTTCAATTAATGTCGAGATATTAAAAAAATCCTTTAGGAAACTCATCATTCGGTCTGAAAAACGTGGAATACAGAGCCATGTACATAATGAATACTCTATGCGAGAAGACTTAACGATCTTATCGACAACGACACACAGCAATGATATGAAAGGTCCTGCAAGAAGAGGCATGTCGTAGGTCAATACACCGGCGAGAATTATAACAAAGCACGATTTGACACCGTCTCAAAATGACACGGATTTTTTGCATCATGCATATGTCACGGTTTTGAGCAAATTGTAATCCATGCTCATGAACTTTGGTCGTTGGCAAATCGGGGTTTTACTATTGATACGTGCAATATTGTGACGGTGTCAAATCGTATCTTTGTTATAATTCTCGTCGGTGTGTTGACCTACGACATGCCTCTTCTTGCAGGACCTTTCATGTCATTGCTGTGTGTCGTGTCGATAAGATCGTCAAGTCTTCTCGCACAGAGTATTCATTATGTACATGGCTCTGTATTCCACGTTTTTCAGACCGAATGGTGAGTTTCCTAAAGAATCTTTTTAATATCTCGACATTAATTGAACAAATTTGCGGATATGGATCTATTGGCCTATGTTTCTAATACTTTGAATCAGTAAATTCGCCATATGGTACGGAGAACGTGTAACTCAATTTCTGTAACTACCGCTGAAGATGGCTCAAAACTGAACCGAAACGTACGGATCGATGTAATGTATCAAAATGACGAATAAATCAGTTATTTCTGATATTACGCACTGTGATCTGCGTCTGACCCTCATAGTTTTGACTTCTCCTATTTTAATCTCGAGGTTCCTCATATTACGTTATTTATTTTTTTTAACTTTCTTTGATAGAATTTTATTATGCTTCTTGAAGGAGTATAAATTCTTCTTTCGAGTACATGATAAAGACTCTTTCTAAAATTTGTACATTTTATAACTATTATCAAGAAAATATTCTTTCTTAAAGACAACCGTTACTTATTAAAAGAAAAAAGTAAATTGAGTAATCGCTTTTTTAAGCAGTAGAATTGATATTTTCTTGTGTATGCATGTACACACGTATGTACATACGTGCGCACAAAAAAATTTTCTATGTCGTTAGAAAATTTTACTATCATCGCTTAGAACGGGGGCCCGGCGTTACGCGCCGCTCGTGCGTGATCGCCGCCGCTTGTTGTAAACAACTGCCCGCGCGCGGACCGCGGGGCGGTCGTATCTCACGGCGCGCTTGGATTTGGCGATGGGCCGGGCCAATACGGCGATTTTTAATTATTAATAACTCATAAACTATTGAGAAAATTGCAAAATGGTACAAGACTTTTCGACTCAGTTTGGCTCGTTCTATCTAAATACGAGAAAAGTCCCCACGATTTACGGACACCCTGTATATATATATATATATATATAAATTATTGTTAATTTGTTTCTTCGCTTTGCGCCATTTCGGCTTACGAAAGGTTTTATAGGAACGCTCTGCTTTCGGATAGCAAGGGAAACCTGTATTCGAGGCTTTTCAGTGATTTTTATACGGTGTAAGGTTAGGATTTCATCAGTGCCATGTGTTGAAATATGCAATGGATATCCAGTGAATTGAAAAAGTGATAAATTATGTATTGATAGAAAAGTTGAATTGAAAGTTATCGTCAATACATGACTAATGTGAAACACAGCTTAAAGTTACAGAAGGCAAAGATAAACAATTAAAACAGTCTGACCTGTATACTGTTTATAGACCTTTACCGTGGAAAATGGCGTTTACAAAGGGCAAGATACCCATACATCGAATAAGTATAAGAGCCTCGGAGAATTAATGTGGATTAGCATTAAGAGCCATGGGGACAAAATCGCACATGTAAGTCGACATGATATTAATTATATTAATACATAAGATTTTTTAAAAAGAAAAGATACTTTTAATGTTTAGCTCAAGAATAAAAAGATTTAATAAAGACATACTAGTAAAATAAAAAAAAAATTGATATTAACTCTGCGCGGACACCGTGTTTTTGGAGCACTCACCCTGAGACTTTTAAGTTCAAAGAGTTTTTGAAAGCGTTTCTGTGTTACAAGAAATCTATAAAAATTCATGTATTATCTTTAAGATTTCAAAAAGTGATTTCTAACGTAAGTATTTACATAAGTATGTAAGTATTTACATAGGCCGGAATTGTTACAATTCGCTTCGCAAGCTGAAGCCATTCCCGTAGGAATCATAAATGAAAAATCGATTATGTCTTAAAAAACCCACGGTGTCCACGCAGTGTTAACAATGATGAAGACGGGATCTATTTTAATTGTTCTTCGATCAATTTGTTTATATGATACATGTGTTGAATTATATAACATTTATTTTATCAAAGACACGAGATGAACAAGCAGTGTTAAAAGAGAATGCACATATACATGGAAGATACACATGTACATTAACATTTTAATATCAAATACATAGAGCGGAATAACGGAAAAGATTTTTGAGATAATACATATAGTCCTAACATGCTTCATAGCGATGATAATATGCTCTTCTTTCATTGCATGTAATGCATGTAAGCAAATTGCATAATGCGTTTTCATGCATCTAATATGACATTTTCCTACAAAAAATAGCTTACTAAATCATTTTTTATGTAACATGTTTATGAAAATAAATAGACAGCAAAAACTTATTAGATATATAAAAATAAAGACAAGAGTGTTACGGCAAACTTGCCTTATTTCATGATTATAAAATAATTAAGCAATTATATAAATAATTATGGTGAATACAATGAATCCTTGCATATGAAATAATTTGTCTTACAATTAGTAGATTTTAACATGGTCGGATGTAATGACAATCTCTTGTTCTCGATCTTATGATGGAAGGAAATCATTAGGTAAAAGCAGTAAATATCTTGAGGCTATTATTTTAACACCTCCGCGATATAATTCAATAGCCCCCTCTCCCGCTCTCTTTCTCTCTCTCCTCTCTCTCTCTCTCTCTCTCCCTCTCTCTCTCTCTCTCTCTCTCTCAGAAAGTGAGAGAGAAAGAATTAATTTGCACAACTATAATAAAATTAAAATAATGTAAAAATTGGATGTTTTCCATTTAATGATACAAGTCGACACTAACGTCATTCTATCTTTGTTAACATTCAATAAATAACAAAGATAAAAAGCTATGTGTATCGATTCACTAAATGACGTGAGCACTCACTGATTGTAACTAATTATAGTTTTGTATGAATTAACTTTTGTTTAAATTAACTTTGTTATAATATTAACAAAACTTTGCTTGTATCTGTGCACAATTAATTTTAATATTCTTTATTTAATCTTAATTTATTTCAATTAGTCTATACTATTATTTATAATTTTATAAAATTTACGCACAAAGGATATCAATATTTAAACGTAAATACCAGTCTGCCTCGAAACTGTTTTAATTTGATCTTGAAGACGTAACAAGTATAGCTTTCCAAGAATTTATACAATGTTCTAGAATCATGGAATGATATCATTTTATAAAGCTAATTCTGCATTATAATTAATTTTGTATTTTAAAGTTTTATATAATAACAATATTATATAGTTTTAGTATTGGTAAGAAATAGATGTTCCGGAATAATGGATTGTTATTTTAATCGTGAGCTAATGACTCTGCAACATAACTTCCTTATATTTATGCAATACTCTTGATAAGATAATTTTGTGTTTAGCTGGACGCTCGCACTGAAGAAACGTTCACATACGCGGAGCTGCAAGATAAAGTTGTGAGATGCGCGTTATGGCTGCAAAAACAAGGAATCAAATCTGGCGACGTCATTAGTGTGTGCACGAATAATCACCCCAATTGCATCGTGCCCTGTATTGCGGCAACTTATGTCAACGCGATTTTCAATCCGTGGAACGAGAGCATGGATTTGCGTAAGATATTCAGAAATAATCATTGTCAAACGTTTTTACGTATTGCATTCGATTAGATTAGTAAATTACACTGAGAAAAAAATGTCGTTAATTTGACTAAACTCGTTTAGTTGTAGTGATTTGTTTAATGCAAATATTAATATATTTAAATCAAATATACGTGAGTAATATTAAGAAATTCTGAATTTATTTCAATATAATATTTTTTGAATTAACAAATGTTAGCTTGACAGCCCGTGACTGCATTTAGTTAAATTAAATAATATTTCTTTGAATCAACGATTTTTTTTTCTCAGTGTAGATATAATGCATTTCCGACAACAATGCGCGCGAATACAATTTTGTCTATCTTGCGGTTAATTAGATATAAATTTTTATTATTTGACTGTACAATAATATTTAGCGTAGTATTTATTTCTTTACTAATTATAATGTATTTGTCATCAGCAACGGCACTGCACGTTTTGCAACTGACCACGCCGAAGGTGATTTTCTGCAGCGAGAAATCCGTGGATGTCGTCTTGAAGGGGATGAAAGAGAAAAATTGCAGTCCTACGGTAGTGGTTTTCGGCAAGCATGTCGGCGCGACTTCGTTCTCAGATATCCTAAGAAATTGCAACGATGCGGAAGTGGCAAATTTCCGTTACGCCGAGCTCGACGACATCAAACAAACGGCGTGCATCATGCACTCGTCGGGTACGACGGGAATGCCAAAAGGCGTTGAATTGTCTAACTACACTATGTTACTCATCAGCGAGGACAACAACTTTAATATGTCTAACTTATCAACACTTTGGTTTTCATCTCTTTATTGGATCAGCGGAGTAATGCTAAATGTGAAAGCAATCACGCAGGGTGCTACAGTGATTATCTATCCGGAATTTGACGAGGAGATGACTTGCCAATTGATTGAGAAATTTAAAGTAATATTATTTTAAGAAATTTTATTTTCTTTATCATAAAATATTTTATTTATTGAATTATTAAAATAGATTCTTAATTTTTTAAATTTTTTGATCTAAAAGACAATAATGAAATATATTTGCCCGCTGATGCACTGACTTCTTGCTGTAAATTAAGATAACTCTTATAGCATCAATGATTTAGTTTTTGCTTTCTCGCGAATCCTATGGTGCAATTAAGTTAACTTTCTTCGAGCAAATTGTAATATTTTTAATTAACAGTAATAAGTTCTGAATAATAACTTATTGTTATTATATAACAATGCTATTAATTTTCTGTCAAATTTGTTTGCCGTCTGTAGACGTACATTTATGTGTGTGTGCATAGAACTGTATTTATCTCGATTGCAAAAAAAAATACAAATTGCTATTTCAAGAGAATAGAACATAGTCTAGCTATATCAGTATCATACTTATTATTTAAATTGCATAATTACATTTGCATGTGTATAATGTGTCAAAATCTAAAAACGAAAATTATTTTTCAACCTAGGTAGCAGTTATCTTCCTTAGCACGAGTATGATAAATCGGTTTATCAGAGCGGGATACGCAGGACGGAAATATTCATTACCATCTTTAAAAGTCATATTAGGAGGTGGTGCAGTAATTAAACCAAAAGTGCAGGAAGAACTGAAACGTACTTTACCGCACGTTCAGATATTGCAAGCTTATGGTATATAAATATCGTTATAATTCTATAAAACATTAATATATATTAATGTTTATCGTAAAAATTTGATTATACCGACTCCTTGTGTTTTTAGGAATGACGGAACTTGGTGGTCTCGTAACATTGCAACAACCAAATCACAAGAACGGATCTTGCGGAACAATAGCTAAGAATGTGCAAATAAAAATTGTAGATCCAGAAAGCGGGAAAGTACTTGGTCCGAATCAGTCGGGAGAAATATGGATAAAATCTATAATCATGATGAACGGTTACTATAGGAATCCCGAAGCGACGAAAAGTACGATTGATGAAGAAGGTAAACAGGTCATATTTGTTATAAATGATAATTATATAACTAAAAATAAATTGTGAGTTAATTAATTGACGTATTGATTGCAAACTAAATAAATTGTATTCCAATAAATTAAAAGCAACGTAACTAACGGTATTATAGAAATCTAATATCACAAAAATAAATTTGGCACTCTTTCAGGATGGTTGCACTCGGGTGATATCGGTTATTTTGACGAAGATGGGGAACTATTCATTATTGACAGGATAAAAGAGCTTATAAAATATAGAGGCTATCAGATTTCACCCGGAGAAATCGAAGGTGTTTTAATAACGCATCCAGCAGTGTTGGAAGTTGCAGTAATATCGATACCTCATGCAATAGACGATGAACATCCTCTTGCTTATGTCACCAAAAAACCTGGTGCCAAGGTATAATGTTTGTTAGAATATTAGAGAACAAAGTTAGAGAATGAGAGTTTACAAAATAAAATTTATCAGTTAGCAAAATAGAATAATTGCAAATCGGTTTTGCGTATTCTGGGGGATAGTCTCTCAGAAATCTAGTGAATAGAGAATTATATTCGTAAGAACCGTTGTTAGAAAATTAAAATCATTGAAAAAGCAAACAAGAAAATCTGCAAGCTAATTCAGATAAGAGCGAAGACATCTGTATCAGTTTTACAAGATAGATTTTAAAACTGTGATGTAACCGCGGTTAAGAAAGAAAAGAATAAATACAGAAATAAGAATGCAAATATTGATTTTGGTCAGCGCTTTTAATTGTAACCGTACAACAATATTTGATCGATATTCTAGCTTCGAAAAAAATTCAGTATAATAACATTTCTTATATTCTTTTAAATATATTGTCAAAATTTTTTCACATTTTAATCATAATACTAAATATGTAAGTTTTTGTTTTCTTTGCTTTATATACCTATATGAAGTTAAATTTTTGTATTTCAGCAAAGTACAATATATTTATATATATCTCGTTTAATGCGGAGTAGAAAATATTTATTTTTTATATTAAAATGTTCTTTGTAGTTGCAATGATTGAATTTTGTTTCAGGAGACAGAGCAAGAATTAATAAACTTTGTGGCAAAAAATATGATGGATCACTACAAACTTCGCGCTGGAGTGATATTTCTGGATGCTTTTCCGTATACAGGTTCAGGAAAAATTGCGAGAAAAGATTTAAAAGAAATGGCTAAAAAATTATTTAAGCACACTAATTAATTACATCTATTCAGTAAAGCAAAATTTGTAAATATTATACATATATATTCACAAATTTTGCTTTATATATATATATAGTCCATGTATGGTTTTTCCAAATAGATCTTATAAGCAGAGCAGATAAACATTTTTCAATCTTATAAAAGGACTATTGATAAGACTATGGATGATAAAGATACGTAATTTTCTTAGAATTAGAATGAATCTAGTCTTCAAAATAAGTTTTAGAAATAATAGCAATGTAGTTATTTTTAATGTGGAGATTTTTACAGGTAATTAAAATCTGTTTGCAGATGTTTGTTTAATGTTTTAATAACAGGATTGCATGACTATTTAATTAGCGAATTGGAAAAAAACTTGAAAATATGTAGTTATTTAGTAAAAGGTTATGTTTTATATCGATAATACTTGTCTTGTTAAAAATAATAAAAAAATATAAATAATAAAATTTTGAGTTGCTGAATATATAAGGTCCCAGTAAAATATATCTTAAAATCTAAAATCAAGTAACTATTAATCAACATTCTCTATAATTTTCATTTTTCTTTTCTTAAATATAGTTATGTAATAGTTATGTAATATGTTTGAGTGGCACGCAATTTTCTTATCACTTGCATACGATCTATCAGAGTTGTAAGCAAGATTGCAATTTATATGCTTTTAACGGACATAAATAAAATATTAATTTCAGTATTTGTTAAAAAAAATATATAAATTTAATATTATAATAATTTATTATAAATAATAAATAATAATAATAATATAAATCAAACATTAAATTCTAAGAAAAAATATATACCAAATAATATAGAACTAAAAATAGACACTACCAGTTATTAAGTTTAAAAATGTTTTCCTTAGATAATTATTAGAAAACATAGAATAAGAAATATTAAGATTAATTGATGTAATCACAATAATGACACTGCAAATTTTATGATTTACGATTGGAAGCTGTCTAATTTATGAGGAAGGGATAGTATAAAGATGCATACGCGACGTATAGTCAGTAAATGCTCGCAGTCTACTGCTAACAGCGTTTATAAGTTTACTGTTATTAGCTGTTATTACTTGTCTGTCGAATATTCTTCAAAAAGGATAATTTTTGTGTAATAAAGAAGTCCTCCATCAAGTACAAAATTTTCTTTGTTACAATAAAGGTATTGTACTTAGTTGTGCCTCCTGTATTATTTTTTTTTATTTACAGTAATATACTGAATTTTGCCGAATATCTTCAGAAATTCAAGTATTTATCCTCTCATTCATAGATATATTATACATAATTGTCAGATAGAATAAATAAAGATATTGAAACGTTAAGTTTTTATTGTTTATTTAAATATATATATATATATGGGTGTTTGTATCTGAATTTAACTCCATTTTATATTTTAAAAATAATTCAATTCTCGATTTCAAACAACTTGCAGTCGCTCTGAAGATCAACTGTTATTAAAAGTATTTCGTTGTGTATGTTTGTTCTGTGTTTTGTTACAAGTGTGTGATGTACATTTACATAAACTCTCACGATTAAATCAGCATCTACATAACTTAATTAACAAAGATAAAAAATTATGCAGCAAAACCGTCAAAAATTTCATTGTTTTAATAGCTTAATAAAATTCAATTAATGAAATAATCTGCAGATAAAACAGTTATTATATAAAAAATTATTATATATTTTTAATTATTATATTTTTAATCCTTCATGTGCATACGTGGGTTTACAGCGTCCGAATCAAAATAATATCTATTCGTAACCGTCAAACTGGCAAGCCCGTCTGTCCGGCTCCTTTCTCTTCAAAAAGAAAGTAGGTAAAAGACGAGACTCAAGGGCCTAGAGCCGTTAAATAAGATCAATATATTGCCAAATACCGAGCAAATCAGATCTCATACGAATGTCTCAGACCCACTAAGTGATCCACTAAACGTAACTTTTTTCTGTAAGTAATTAAAGTGAGACTTATTCTGTAAGTAGTTAAGTTTCTATTCATTGTCACACATTCTATAATATACGATAAAGACTAGCCCATATTTTAACAGGTATTTAATTTAAGACTCATGTTCACTGGACATTTTCTTTTTATTTTGATGAATACTACCTGCTCTAAAAATATGTAACATTTTTTAAAAATACCCTGTATATATTTATATTTAAATTATACATGTATTATATGTATTATATTTGTTCAACACATTGATATATGAACATATACTTTGATAGTCAATATCAGTTTCGCTCAATTTAGAACAACTATAAAATGTATTTATGATGCAATATTGTAGAGTGACCTTGCGTTGGATCGCATTCAGAATCTTATATTACAATGGCAGACCTAGATATTTCTAACAAAATGGTTGAACATGTCTGGAAGGTAGGTTCAAAATCAGCCAAATAATGATCTATTTATGTGATCTTTCCAAGTTACGTTTAAAGAACACAACTATGAATGTATGATTGACGTAAAAGACATATAGCGTAAAGATATTAAGGACAATAAACAATTAAAACAGTTTGATAAACAATATGTCGATTACAGAATTTTACCGTGGAAAATGGCATTTACAAGGGTAAAGCGGACCGTAAATCGAATAACTACAAGTGTGTTGGAGAAATGTTATGGACTAACATAAGAAATCATGGGAATAATATCGCATACGTGAGTCGACGATTACATATGACATCAAAACATTTAAAATAAAAAAAACAGACATAAATATTTAAAGCTTATAAATATTTGATTAAATAAAAAAGAAGATTCAATAAAAACATATTCTAAAACTTAAAAACTGATATTAATAATGATGAAGGTAGAATCTATTTCGATTGCTCTTCGAAATTGTTTACATAATACATGTTGAATTACATAAAATTGTTTTATCAAAGACATAAGATGAACAATGTTGAAAGAAAATGCATGTGTATAGTAGAAGAAATATATATTTTAATATCAAATATAGTGCAGAATAATAGAAAATTAAAAAAAAATAGGTTTTATGCTTTATAGCGATAATAATATGCGTTTTTTACATATGTTATAATGCTTTTCTATACAAAAAACAGCTTATTATCAAAGAATTTTTTTAGCAATGTTATATGCTAGCAATGTTAGCAAATAAAGAGCAAAAAGTTTATGAGACACAGAGACATAGAGAGACGTGTGAAAAGAAAATTTAAATTGTAGATTTGAAATAATTGCGGCATTAATCCTAACGTTAGAAACAGCATTCTAAAAAAAATTCTTATTTCAATATTATTGAAGATAAAGTTCTCTTATTTTAAATTTTATCATAAAAAGTAATGAGATAGAAGAAATAAATATCTTAAAATTATTTTACCACATTTTGAATAATACAATTTAATAGATAATTCTAAAAATAATAATCTGAAAAACTCAAAAATGGATTTAGATAGAATTCTTTAAAAATTAAGTAGAAATTATTGCAATTATACAGTGTTAAATTTAAGTTTGTTTTAATCGTGAGTTAATGACTGCAATACAACTTCCTTATATTTATGCAATACTCTTGATAAGATAATTTTGTGTTCAGCTGGATG